TCCTGCAGTCTCTTCCTGCTGGAGCGTAAGAAACAGAGGAACAGTAATGTGGAAAGCTCTCCTTTTATTCAGTCCTGGTTGTCTCGGCAACTGGGACGAGGAGCGTTCCCACATATTTATCATATCCCAGGGAAAAGATTTAGGGTGCTTGTTCTTTAATATTTTCAGGTGTTCATAGATTTAGCCTCCCTTCCCTTTAGACTGCTTGTGTTTCTTAACTCACTGGAATTACTTTTTTAAATGTTCCCAGGTTTCACTTATTTACCTGACCTTTCTTTGGGGCACACATTGTGACATATTGTCTCTTTCCTCACCTCTCCTCTTCCTCCTCTCAGGGCTCTGATTGCCGGAGGCGGCGCTCCAGAGATCGAGCTGGCCGTGCGTCTGGCTGAATATTCCCGCACCCTGGCCGGCATGGAGGCGTACTGCGTGCGGGCGTACGCTGACGCCCTGGAGGTGATCCCCTCCACGCTGGCTGAGAACGCCGGGCTAAACCCCATCTCCACCGTGACGGAGCTGCGCAACAGACACGCTCAGGGAGACAAGTCGGCCGGCATCAACGTCCGCAAGGTCTGCTCTCCTTCTCCCCTTTTATTGAAATGTACAGTATATTATTTGTTTTCAGACCAGGGCCGACTGGCGGTCCCACGGTGTCGTTTAAAAACTAAAGGTGACCGTGCCTTTCAGGTGGAACTCTCTCCCTAAAGACAGTCTCTGTAGAAGCTTTTTAAAAAACTACTGAAGAAGACGACCTATCTTTTTACATTGGCTTTTGTCTCTACTTGAGATGTTGAGTGTTCTGTCCTCCACGTGGTCTGTGTTTTGTTTTTATGTTAACCTTTAATGTCTGCCTCATGATGTTATTGTGTTCATGTTTCTGTGGTCTTCATTTTAACTTTATTTCTTTCTTGTGAAGCACTTTGTGAATTGTATTGATGTAAAAGGTGCTATACTAAATAAACGTATTATTAAAATATACAGTATATTATATATACTGTGCCCTTTTTTGTTGCAGTGACAGCTATATCACTGTTTTAGACACTAGTTTTGACTTTTCACAGACAAAATAATGAATCATTGAATAATGGATTTGATGGATTAATCATTTAGCAGAAAACAAGTGCTATAGCAATATTAAAACTATTCTCTCACTGAATGTAATTTACTTGTGATACAGCAGCATTAAAATACTGCCCACATGCTTCCCATAAGGCCGTTCATGCTGATTCCCTGACTGGTTGACTTTGTCTCACAGGGAGGAATCTCCAACATCCTGGAGGAGCTGGTGGTGCAGCCTCTACTGGTTTCCATCAGCGCTCTGACTCTTTCCACAGAGACGGTCCGCAGCATCCTCAAGATTGACGACGTGGTAAGACTCACAAGCTGTGGATTAAACTGTTTGAATCTTTTATTTTGTACTTCTCTACATCTGTTTCTTTCTGGCTCAGATCACTGCCATCAGGTTTATTCTAAAGTCTGTTTTCTTTGTGTTGTTTCAGGTAAACACCCGATAAAGAGATACAAGTTTGTCCACTGAGTTCTGTCCACGAAGCCTGCTCGTACTGCACGGACCAGAGGACTCTGTCAACATCAGTCTGTTCAGATTTCCACTGTAGTTGTTACGTTGCGTAATTTAATAATAAAGGCTTCTTTTTTTTGTTGACACTCCAGCTGTTGCCTGTATGATTCTGTTGCCTCATTGTTTTCATTTCAGCCTATGGGTAGTGGCCTTCTAGAGAGGGTCATGAAGTAGTAGCAGTTATACAATTGTTGTTTCTTAATGCCGTTTCAGAGGATTTTAAACCCCCATATTACAGTTCAGATCGATACAAGCATTAGTAGGTATGTTTTAGGGCTTTTCCCCTCCTGTAAATCTGATAAAAAGGATCAACATAACTTCACGTCACTAGCAAGCCTAAACACTTAAAAAATGAGATATCACACAAGAAAATCTAAGAAATAAAAATGTTTCTACTTTTTTAAGGCAGGTAAGTTTGACAAGAGAAATCTATGAAATGAAAAAGTAGTCAAAGGTGCATATAATGACATAGCATATCATGCATTGCTGTAAATAAACTACCAAAGCAGTCAAATAAATAACAAACCCAAGACAATAGAAACCCATTTTAAAGGGAACGTTTCCCTGCACAATCAGTACTTAGTGTACATTTAGCTGATATTACTTTTACCTAAGTTAGATTTTGTTACAGTTTTATTACTAGCAGTGGAACTCATCTACCACTTCTAAATATAATAACACTTAATTATTTATGCAATCATCCTGTCATTTCCTGTCCCGCTACGTCACTTCCTTCCCAACCACGCACCGCTCCGTTGCTAAGGAGTCCACCTGCTGCCTAGTTACCGAAACCGTTTTCAGCGCGTGCATTACAGACTGATTTATCTAAAATATCTCGTTTTTGTCACTTTATTTAACATTTAAACTACATTTTAAAGTGGAGGAATACTGCGTCGTCATGGCCAACGCCCACCGGACCAACGTGCTGGTCACTTCTTGTCTGAAAACGCCGGTAGATCCGCACACCAAAGCGCCGTTAGCTTCTTACGAGCGGGGGAGACGAGTGCTGCCACACACAGATACCTGTTTAACGGACAACCGGGACTACGAGAGGGAGGTAAATCTGTGTAAAGTAACTTCGTACATTTACTGAAGTGCTGTACTGTGCTGTAATTTTGAGGTAGGCTACTACTTTGTAGCCTACTTCTACCCGACTGCACGTGTACTTTTACTTCACTACATGTATTTAATACCTTTAGTTACTATACAGATTTGGATGAATGATGTGAAATCTAATCAAGTCTAAATCAGACTTTAGTTCCACCTGGAGTAAATTCACAAGCTACCCTGCAGTATACAAAGTCATTCAAACTAGCTACACCTTTACCAGCTTTGATAACACATTAAAGAATGCATTATTATAATCAAAACATATCATAAATATTATTCTGAAATGAACCAATCTGCACAATGACTACTTTTACTTTTGGTAGCTACTTCAACTATATTTTGATGCTAATACTTTTTTCTACTTTTACTTGGGCAACATTTTGAATGCAGGACTTTTACTTGCAACACAAAATATTCTACTCTCTGGTACTTCTACTTTTACTCAAGTACAAGATCTAAGTACTTGTACTTTTACTTAAGTACTCCAGTTACCAAAGCAGCCCACGTCCTGCTAGTTTATACTCTTAATGCAGTGATGTAAAGTAACTAAGTTTACTCAAGTACTGTACTTAAGTACACATTTGAGGTACTTGTACACTTCTGCTCTACTACATCTACATTTTGGAAACCAATTACTTTTACATCTCGACTTTCAGCATATTTTCCTAATCGTACTTAAACACTACTTCAGTACCATTCTTGATGAAGTTATTTTACTTTACATTTTATATTTTTACTGTGTGGTAGCCTACTATTTCAGAAACAGGTTTATTACCAGGTAGGTTTACACGTACGATGAATTTGACTTCTAATATTGACTGTCAGTGATGGAATAAGTATTGAGATTCTTCGCTTTAAGTATATAATGTATAAGCACATTGAAAGGGTATTTAGCCTGGGTTTAATGGTGAAAAGTGTTAAAAAATAAGGCTCAGCTCAGCAGCTGGAAACTTGTCTTTTTACATGAACGATTACTGAAATTATCAGAAAAGTTTTGTCGGTCGAGTGATTTATCTGGAAAATGTTATCACTCGTTAGCATATGTTTTGTTTAGTAGCTTTATTTGTAAGAAATCGTCATATTTTGATGAACTATTTCAAAAGCGTTTAACTTGTAAAGTAACTAGTTGCTAAATCGTTTGGATATAGTGGATTATGGGATTTCAACTCTCATAAGTGAAGGGTCTGATTACTTCTTTCAACACTGCTATTCATTCTGCTGTGCTACTTAACAACCTCACATCTTTATATAAAACACCGTCAACAAGGCTTCTTTTACAGATAGAAAGTAACTAACTAAACTGGATCTAGTTAAAAGTATAGTAACTTCAAATACATGTTGTAGATTTTCACCAAAAATAATCTAATGATGATGAAGTTGAATATGTGAATAAAACCAACAGCCTTTTAAAGAAAATGAATAATTTGGCTGCAAAAAAGTAATCATTTGATCCTACTTCATGCTTTGAACAAGGAATTTGCAAATAAATATATACATAACACTGCTTTGCAGCTCATTGGCACATGTCTGAGATGAAAGATGTATTTATTATATAGCATTGAGTGAAACAGCTAACGTCCAGTCAACAGTTGGCAGTTTGCGGTCGGTCGGTCGGTCTGATAGAGAGGATTTGAGCTGTATCATTTGCTGGCCGCCTGACTATTTTGGAAAATCCTTCTTGACTACCAGACGTCACGTCACGTTCCATTTAAATTCCCAAACACTTAACTATCCTTCAGACAACAACCCCGACAACCCTGCTGTCCTCACAGGCTGGTGACCCCTTTCAGCTGATGCTAATGCGTCCATCAGAAGAGGCAGCCACCTGATGCAGGGTGTTTGTCAGTTGAGCTTTTCATGGTAATCTGGCCTTTGTGTTCCACCATATGTCCCGCTCGCTGCTCTTAATAGGCTTAGTTCTGCAGGAGCGCTGCTACAGAGGGCCTGGTGCTTAAAAACAATGTCCTGCAGCAAGCATTATATAATAGTCTGAACAAATATATTAGTTTCAGGCTACATTTGACATCATCTTACAAAAAATTCCATGTGTGAAATTATTATCTTTGTCAAAGGAATTAGATATAATTAGAATCAGAATCGTTTTTATTACTAAGTAGGTGTACACATACGAGGTATTTGCTTTGGTTTAAATGGTTCATAAAAAGACACAGAAAAAGCAATGTCATTTTTTTTAAAGGAACAAGAAAAAGTACTATTATAAAAACTATTTTAAAGACTATTGTAACACATTTCAAATGAAAGACAATAGTTACACAAAATATAAATATGTAAGCAACTGAATACAGTAAAATAAAGTATAAATCATGCTATGTTGACAGTGGAGAGCTCTGCAGATGTAGAGGTCGTGTGGAGCAGAAATGTGCCGCATGTTCAAAGGGATTTACAGAATAAAAAGTACGAGCTATTGCTATTACTTTGTTAAAGCAAAGTATAGATGGAGACGAAAGAAATAGAACACTCTTATACAAAAGGCACGCACACAGTATTTAAAATAGAATATAATGAGATGCGCCTTAATGAAATGTATGGCCCACTGATTGGCAAATGAGCTTTACAAGACTTTTGACCTTTTTCAGCGCAAGTACGAAGACTCTGGCTCTGATTTCTGTGAGGAGGACTATGTGGGGAGGGGGGGGGCTCTCATGCTGACGGACTACAGAGCGGCAGGAGACCGCCTCGACCTGAGTGAGATCTTCTTCTCCAATGAGGAGTACTACAGCAAGCTGGAGGAGCTGAAGAAGGCTCACCTGCGCACCATGGCCGAGCTGGAGAGCATGTACCAGAGGAAGCTGCAGCTCAAGGCCTCGGAGCCCCCGGGAGCCACCGCGCTGCAGGCAGACAGGCACAGGTGCGTGGCTCCTAGTCAACAGGATTATGTTAAGACGGATCAAAGGTAATTGTCTGGGGATTCTCATGCCTGGATGGTTGTCTGGAGGTTTTATCGGTTGACCCGAATCACAATAAATATAGTTTCTTAAAAACTGCTCGTCGTATTTAGCTCTGTAGTTTTGTTTTGTGTGCGGTGGGTTTTAAGATATTCACTTCTGACGATATCCCTCTACGATGGAGGTTAATTGCGTTTTATGGATTAAGTAAAGTAGGAAGTATTAAACTGTGGACGGTACCTGGGAAAACACATTGCTAATTCATCGTCTGTACTTTGTGCGGCACAGATTACATCCCAGATATTTCCTAACCTTAAATATATTTGCACGGTTAAAACATATTCAGCAAGTGAAATTTGATTTATACATTTTGGTTTAGTTACATTCTGAGCAAAGTGGCTGTATTTATTTGAAACGTTTAACCTTATTTAAATAAATAGTGGGTTTGTATTATACTAGTGCAGTGTTGTTCTAACTGCTTTTCAACACAAGATGTCAAGCATTTGCCCTTCTTAGCTTCCTCTTTGTTAAGATGGACTTATTTTATGCCATTATGAATTTAAGTTCCTAGTTTTTTGGCAAAGACGTCCAGACAAGTGCAATTTTGTCAGTTCCCCTCCATCATTTCAAAACCGGCCTTAAGACCCTCTTCTTTCGGCTTGCCTTCCAATAAACTTTGAGCATGGTACACCTGGAGTACCGCCATTTTTATCGCTATCTCCGACTTTTCTTTTTTTAGATTTCTTTTTAATTTTTAATTATTATTACCGGTATTTGTTTAATCTCTCAAATTGATTTGTCTCGGCAGATGAGAAGCGTTATATAAATTAAATGTATTATTATTTATTATTTAGCAATGATTATTCACCAATGAAGACATAGTTATGAACATCTTTTTCAATTTGTTTGATATAAAGTGTGTCATTGTATTCGATGAGGTGCTTTGTCATATTGACGCTCATTGGATGATGTTCCCTATAGGGTCCCATGGTCACACGGCAGCCCAGCAGCTTCACGTCACTTGAGGAAGTCTCAGTCTGCAGTTGAGCTGAGCAGGAGCTCCCCTCGGTCAGACTACTCAGACGAAGAGGAGGAAACGCATGTGGAGAAAGGCTTGGTGTTCTCTCCTAAAGAGCACATCAAGAACATGTGGCAGGACTTCAAGCTGTCCCCTAAACACCTGTCCGCCTCCTCCGTGCAAAGCCTGTCCGCAGACCAGAAGAAGCCACGAAAGGGAAGAGGAAAGAAGAGGCAGGAGCATAGAGACAGAGAGCAGGACAGCTTGAAACACAAATCCACCGTCCCAGAACCTTTCCAGATGATGCTGCGTGAGGACGAGAGGCGGAAGCGTGGCATCAAGTCTCGCTCAGAGATCGAACATGAGAACGCAGACCTGAGGCGGCAGCTGGTGGAACTGACCGAGTGCCAGAGGACATTCAGGGCCAGCCCCATACCGGCTCATGTTCACCTCCCGCTCTACGAGGATCTGCAGGGGCGCAAGAAGCGAGAAGACGTGCAACCTCGAACCCTCCAGAAGCCCTTCAGCTTCCTGGAGAGGGAGCGGCTGAAGAAGGAGCAGAAAGAGCAGCATCCTTCACCCAATGAGGACAAAGTGAAACCCTTCAGAGCCAAGCCTGTTCCCAGGTCTGTGTACGCAGCTGCCACAGGCGAGCAGATGAAGGAGGATCAGCTGTATCGCTCCATCAAGATACAGATGAGAGCTGAGGAGATGCTCCACAGCGCCGCCATGCCTCCCAGCATGCTCACACGACGACTCAGCGACCGCAAGAAAAACAAAGACGGTAGCTCTGAGGTCAAAGGGGACGACAACATCTCCCACAAACCCCACATCAACACAGAGGTGCCTGACTTCGACGCCCGTTACAGACGCTTCCAGAAACACCTGGAGAAACAGAAGGAGGTGAAGCCCACTACTACGTGTGAACCATTCGAGTTGAGGACGTCCCACATCAGTTCGCACCGTGAACGCATCCTGGCCGACATGGAGAAGGAGCGGAGCAGCCCGAAGGCGATGCGCTGGCCGCACGTCAGCCCCGGGAAATCTCGCACGGCAAACTCTAGCCTGTGCTCGTCGCTCTCCGGCAGCCTGGAGATCCTGCCGGGGAAAGTGACAGACGCCACAAAGAAGCGCCATGACGCCGTGAGGTACCACATCAGGACTCCAAAAGCTTCCACCCTTATAGTTGAGATAGAGAGATCCTCAGAACTCCAATGTCCTGTTTCCTTCTGTGTTTGAAACCCCCTGCAGGAAGAATCTGTTCCCAACATCCCCGCTGAATGCTCACAAACCAACACCCGTAGCCGTGTGTCAGAGTCAGAAACAGGTTTATCACCAGGTAGGTTGACACGTATGAGGAATTTGACTTGATGTCACGGTGCTTACATACAAGTAAAAACACAGATAGAGAATTATTTTAAGAAAACTATAATAATAGAAAAAAGATTCTCTCTCTTTTTGTCCTGATCCATTTATATAGAAACCTGTCTGAAAATCAGATTTTGGTCACTTTATGAAGTCATTTTGTCTTGTGTAACCATTAGCCAATCACCAACCAAGGTACAGTAACCCCCCCCCCCCCCCCTTATCACCTGAGTCTCCTCCTAGAGCACCATTGAGTTATTTGTAACCAAATCTCTCTCAGAGGGGCGTGGGGAGGGGCTCCTTATTTTCATCTAAAGTAACAGACAGAGAATCAGCACTTTGGAAACAGGGCTGAAACAGAGGGGATTATGGGTAATGCTGCAAAGATCTGTTTGGTGTTTCAGCCAATCAGAGACAGGCTCTGGATATATCTGAGACCTGTGATATATTGATGAAAAACAGTATAATTGGGGACCTTTGATTTGGCAGTATTCACTAAGGATTAAATGTGTGTGTGTGTTTTGTTTAGTCGTTCC